TTGGTGTGTCGCATTAGGCGGTGTCTGTCATTGTTCCGGAGATATGCAAGTANAAATCAATTTTATATAGCACCTTTCAAGAAACCCAAGGTCGCTTCACAATTGCAAACAACCACAAAATCACACAGACAACCACAAAATCACATGACATGAACAAACAGAAAACACAACTAGCTGGCGAAAGTTACATTACCAATCCTTGAGTGGATGGGGAAAGAGTCACTTGGTGGTGTACTGCTGTTAGCCGGCAGAAGAAGGCTGGGAAGATGGTTCCAGGTGAAGTCTTTGTTGGGTCCTTTGTTCCAAAGGTTCTGATCCAAGGAAGCCAGTCGCTCGGGGTCCTTGCAGAGTTAGACGCTGGGTGCTAACTCACTTAGTTCCTTGTTGCTGGAAAGCTAGTTTGCAAACCTTGTGTTTGCCAGAGAGTCTGTGATCAGTTGCCCTCCCTTTAGTGGTTTGGGCTATGGAGCAGGGGTTCGGGCCTCTGCTGTCCAGGCCCAACCGGAAAGAGATGGTAGCTGTTCAACAGCTGGAGCAAGAAGAGCTGGTGCAAGAAGAGAAAGAAAGCTTGGAGGGAGCAGACCTTGTACCGATGCCTGTGACATCACAGAGTCACATGTCACTGTAAAAGGTCTTGTCTAATCAAGTTTTGGGACTTGAGTCTCACTGAGGTGTGATGCGAGACCTCCTGTGGAGATGGGTGTCACCTAGCTCTCTTTGTTTGAAGACAAAGAGCATGCAGAGAAAAAAGCCTTGAAAACAGTGATGATTTTACCAAATGATAAATCATCTGTGGTCCTGTGAATCCCAACACATCCATGGTACTGCACTTTCCTGGTTACAATCCTATCTGAGTGACAGAAAGCACTGTGTCTCATATAAAAACACTACATCCATATCCCCCTTAGTGCAGTTTGGCGTACCACAGGGATCTGTCCTGGGTCCCTTACTTTTTTGTATATACTTACTGCCCCTTGGTGACATATTCCGTAGATTTGGCAGTAACTACCATTGTTATGCCGATGACACACAAATTTACATTCCACTTACACCCCACAATCAATCCCAACTTACAAATATTGAATCTTGCTTAGCTGCTGTTAATCACTGGATGTCACAAATTTTTTTACGACTGAATGCCAACAAAACCGAACTTCTAATCATAGGCCTGAGCACCCAACTACCACTCCTCACTGACCTTAGTTTAAACATCGACAATTGTGTTGTCACCCCAAACTCAACAGTTAAAAACCTTGGTGTGACTTTTGATTCATCTGTCTTTTGATGCTCACATCAGGGAAATCACTCAGATAGCATTTTTCCAGCTACGCAACATCTCAAAGATCCATCCCCTGCTAAACACCTCAGATGCAGAAATCTTAGTTCACGCCTTTGTTTCATCTAGACTAGATTACTGCAATATCCTTTTCTCTGGCCTACCACACTGCAGCACAAACAAATTATAACTTGTTCAAAATGCAGCAACCAGGATACTAACCAAAACCAGGAAATATGATCATATAACCCCAGCTTTAATCACTCTTCACTGGCTCCCTATCCAGTCCAGATCAGACTTCAAGCTGCTTTTACTCACCTACAAATCTCTGCATGGCCTAGCACTCCCATTCTTATCTGAACTAATCATTCCATACGTTCCAACACATGCTCTCCGCTCACAGAATGGTAACTACCTCACAGTCCCCAAAGTTAACAAAAAATCAGCAGGTGGTAGAGCATTTTCCCACCGTGCCCCACTTCTCTGGAACCGGCTCCCCCAATCAGTAAGGTATGCAGAATCCGTTGACATCTTTAAATTGAGACTAAAAACCTACTTATTTTCCCAAGCATATGGTACAACTTGATAGCACTTTTTTATTTATTTTAATTGTTTTTGTAAATAATTGTGCTTGTTTGTAAATTGTATTTTTTATTTGTAATTTGTATTTTTCTAATGCATTTTTTTTCTATGTGAACTGTAAAGTGTTTCGAGACCATGTTTATGGTGATTTTACACTTTAAATAAAGCTGAATTGAATTGAATTGAATAACAGAAGATACAGAAGACAGTATCAGTTATGTTTATTTTTGACAGAAATATGTTAACAGTGATGATGTCAGAATAAAATGGCGACAAGTTGGATAAACACTGATATGTTTGTGTCTGTTTCTTACTGCTCCACAGCCATTCAGGACTGTGCAGCAAAATAGCTACTGGCCCAAGCACCCCTAGACTTGAGGCCGCTAACATATACAGTACTTTACACGCAGCCCCCATGATAAATTCTTTAAGCTTAGCCTACCTAAAATGTGACACACTATCATATTTATTTCTAAGGCATCATCGTACAGAATAACATGGATGTTCATATTAATGTGTATGTGGTCTGAAAATAATGAATAAAACCCTTCTCAAGAATCCTGCTGTCTGTGATTTTTTTGTTAAGGAACTAATTGTAAAGATGATGATGAAGTAAAAAAAGACTACTCATTATGTGTCACTTTACTTTAGGACATAAAAAGGTTAACTAATGGACAGGTTATTGAGTAATGATTCCTTACTGATGAAGTAATTAGTTCACTAATCATTAAGTTGTGATTAACTCCTCTATGAAATTTGATCATGAGTTAATGAAGAACTGACCATTGACTAATAGTTAGTTCATCATTAGTTCCTCATTGGTTCCTCAGTAACTACTCTAATTTTTATACCTTAGTTCCTCAGTAACTACTCATTAGTTCCTCATTAGTTCCTCAGTAACTACTCTAATTTTGTGTAGCTTAGTTCCTCAGTAACTACTCATTAGTTCCTCAGTAATTACTCTAATTTTGTGTACCTTAGTTCCTCAGTAACTACTCATTAGTTCCTCATTCGTTCCTCATTAGTTCCTCAGTAACTACTCTAAATTTGTGTACCTTAGTTCCTCAGTAACTACTCATTAGTTCCTCATTAGTTCCTCAGTAACTACTCTAATTTTGTGTACCTTATTGTAAAGTGTTACCCAAGTAGCAATAGAACAAACTATGAGTGAGTGATTATTGAACAAAAAAATAGTGGTATAATAAAAATGTAAATAAAAAAGTTATAATTATAAATAGAATTAAAAGATGTGAATCACAGCAATAAATATGAATGACAACTAATTATACATGTCAGAATATGGAAACGTTTTTTTTTTTATATTACTGCATTGTCATGTGAGAAAACTGATTTTAAAGGCCTAATTTTCACTTGTACAGTCACTCACATCCAAACAAAGCCATGTCCACATGGAGACGAGATTAGGTGTATCCGCAAAGGTTTTTTATCGTAGAGATCTTTCGTAAACACGGAACCAGCGTTTTAGGAACCCAAATACGCCAACTTTTGAAACCGGGTCCCAGAGTGAAAAAATCTGAAGATGCCACCATCCATATTTACAACACAGTACAGCTCTTTTCTGAAGCGATGACGCCATAACCCCACCTCTCCCTTAACCCGCATGCGCTAAAGGCACCACAACAACAATGGCTGACTACGCAGTGGTTGCGTTAGTGCTGCAGAAGCTACTGACCCTTATAGCATTTTTGCAGCAAAATCTCCTCCTTCTATACAACCAGCAACAGGTGGAAATGGAGAACAGCGTCAGCATGCACATGTTTTTAAATCCGTGGATAAGAATGAGAAGGGCAACCAGGAGACCAGGAACAACCAGCAATTGTTGGGACAACTTTGTTAATGGCATTGTCGTGGATGCTGAATGGCGGGAGAACTTTCGCATGTCCAGAGCCTCTGTCGTCACCCTGACCGAAGAACTGCGCCCATATATCTAAGGACAAACAACAAACATGAGGGCACCAATTGATCCACTGAAAAGGGTTGCTCTAACACTTTATTATTTGAGTGAAGAGGGAAGGCTGAGGAAGACTACTAATGCCTTTGGTGTGTCGCATTAGGCGGTGTCTGTCATTGTTCCGGAGATATGCAAGTAAAACCTCTCTGTTTTGCTCTCTTGTACCATTGTATCTGCTTGGCCTGCCACATCTACTCTGGGTACTTATGTTAGCTAGTGTTAGCTAGCTAGTGAAATGATATGAACTAGCTAGCTATTTGCAGTAGATACATGCTTTAGATAGCTAGCTAGCTACCTAGCTAACCCGCATAGGCCGTTCACCTTGGTCGTTTAGCACCACAGACACTAACGTTACACGTCTGTGGTTCAGCTAACATCAGCTAGGCTATAAGCCGCAAAACGAGTTGTGGTAAAGCTGGAAACATCCACAGAAGAAGGCAAAATATTAAGATTGATCTTGGGATTTTATACATCTAACTAACGTACGAATGTTCATACATCCACGCTTATAGATATATTCAAATGAAAGTAGGGTTGTCTATTTGGCAGGGCCCTGAGTAGATGTGGCAGGCCGAGCAGATTGTACACACAAAAATAAAATTATTCATCTCAACTCAATGGACTATATCAACAGAAAAGGAAAATATTCCCCTTAATGTACAGGCTGTCTGCAGTTACAAGTACTGATTCATGGATGTCGTGTTTAAGTGGCCTGGGAGTGTGCATGATGCACGGGTGTTTGCTAATTCAAATCTAAACTTGTACTGAAAGACTGGAAAAATCCCTGCTTTGAAAAAACAGATTTTGGACAATGAGAAGGCCATACCAATTTTTCTTCTTGGTGACCCTGCCTACCTGCTGCTGCCTTACCTGATAAAAGAATATTCAAATGGTGGCTCCACACCTCAGGAACAATACTTTGGGCTGTGTTTGTGTAGGGCATGTATGGTCATTGAGTGTGCTTTTGGTCGGCTTAAGGCCAGATTTGCTGCACTTAGAAGGCCTATAGACATCAACTTGGATGACCTGTCCCATGTCATTTACTCCTGCTTTGTCCTCCATAATTTTTGTGAGGCCAGTAAGGAGGCTGTGGATGATCACTCTTTGATGGGAACAATCCCAGGTGAAAATGACTCACAGCCACCCACACATTGCAATAGATATGTCACTGACTGCAATGAGGGGGAGGGAAAGAGAGTGAGGAGAGTGCTCATAGAGTACCTTGACCCTTCAAGACTGACTTAAAAGTTGAGTGTTTTTTCTTTTGTATTAAGATCTGATAATGAATAGATAATCAGATCAATAGTCTCTCCAGAGACTCTTGCTCCCCAGAGACAGCCTGCAACCAGCCCATGGGTGATGCACACGCACACACACACTCTATCTCTCTCACTCAATCACTCACACAGACAGCCCCTGGAGTTTGCAGACACTAACCAAGTGGAGTTCACCGTTAGCACGGACAGCTGGGTGGTCATCAGCACACTCAGGTGAGCACTGGTCTTTCTTTGACTTCTGTATGTCTGTATTGGTCTTGTGGAGCCAGTCAGGTTGAACTGTTGTCTGTGTCATGCAGGATGGAGAAGGTCCAACTGCCTGACATGGACTCCTATCACTGTGCTGTGATGTCTGAGGGTTGAGAGACTCTATCCAAGGGAGAAAACATCCAGCTGGAGGGTGAGTGGGCTGCATTGACACTACACACACACACACACGCACACACACTCTCACACTATCTCTCACTCACTCACACACACCCCCTCCCCCACCCCCCACCCCCCTTCCCTAACCTCCAGGCTTCTCTGCAGAATGTCCTGCAAGGAGCACTACCTGGACTAAAGCTGCCTGTCCTCCTACTGTACATCAAGACCAAGCCCCCCCAGCCCTGCATCTCTGGCAGACAGCATCAACCATCACAGCCCCAGCACTTCCTCCCACTGACTCCTCGGGCTCCTACTCCACCATGAACGGCATCCTCTGCTTTATTTTTATACATGTTTGTGAACTCTTGTCATCTATAAATAACTTGTTCTGAATTCTGAAGAATAGATTGTGGCTATGTGATACAGGAGATACTGAGGGGAAAAGCTTTTCAAGTGAAAATGGCTGCTGGCAAAGTAGAAACATTTTGTCCACTATCAAACAACCACCCATGCCTGTACAGTATTTGCAATTGCAACATTTTGCACTTTAATATTTGCACCAAAAAAGACATTTTTCTCACATTTTAAACACCTTTTGTTAGCAAAAAAATGCTTGTTATTTTGCTTATGACATTTTCAAAGTTGCGAGTACAACCAATGTACAAAGTGTGACATGGAAAAATAAAACAAAAGGCTGCAACCACTTCCAGACCTCTTTCTTAGAAAATAAGGTGCAACAAATAATAGGTGTGCAAATGTATCACATTAATCTGTCATAAAGGACAGTTAAACATCAAGAACAAGAAGAAAGAAGTGTCCAACGCAACCAAGTGAACTAAGCTCTGTGCTTTCTCACTCGTCTTCAAACAGTGCTTGTGTGTATGAAAATGAGGATTTTGTTGAGTTTGCTGCTGTGGGGTGTCATGTATTGGTGTGTATCCTCCAGAGTGGTTTGTTGTTCGCATAGGTGTGCGAATAAAGGTTGGTGTAGTGGGATGAGGGCTCAAATTCATGAATGCTGGTGAGTGTCCCTGGAATTGACCATATCCACCACTGCTACTGTGGGGGTGTGCAACTTGAGTAGTAAGTACTCCATCCTAAGTAAGTAGTAATTGCCTGAACAGGGAAAAGCCACCCTGAATAGTGTTTGTAATGTTGGCAATGTTTGTATTTATCTGTTGCATGTTGTCTGCGTTGCGCCTGGTCGATTCCTCCATTAGCTCCAACATCCTCTTTTTTTATTTGTATGTCTTCCTGTGCTGCATGGTCAGCTGGAGGTTTTCTCTTTAGCCTGTCATCACTTCTGTGACTGTTCAGCTTTGCCTTAAATAAAACAGTGCAAAATCACTTTATTATTTCACAAAACAAGACCAAGGTATGTTTGTAAGGCACTATTTTGGTCAGAATGTCCCTGTCAGTTAACTGTCCTCACATTAAAATGTACTGTATCATAGCATACAGTAAGCCTGCTTAAAATCATGAACCTACATACCTGGAACATATCTCTGCACTACTTGACAACAGCAGGTGTCAGAGTCAGACTTTTACTGGATTCGGTGGTGTGTGGGGAATCGCTAGCAAACTCCGAAGTCGGAGAAGAACTTTGTCTGGAAGATGATTCTTCCAGGTCCCGTCTCGAAGCCAGCGTCGATGGAGTGCGTAGCATGCGATCCACCCCAGACCTCTTCACACAGCTCGAAGAACAAGAGCACCACACGTCCTTGGCCACTCAGACGACCAGTGTCCACCGCCTGCCTGTATTTGCCTCAGATGTTCTTTATCTTGGCGGTGACCTGGGCTTTAGTTATGGTGTTAACGTCGTGGGGAGATCCTTGTTTGTCGGGTGCCTGTGATACTGCGCTGGAAATGCAACCATTATATCACTTTATTTGGACTAGCAGGACTCCCAGTCAACCCTTCCTGCAGTTTTGTAGTTTTGTAATCAAGTGTGACCCTAAGTAGCAGCTCTACCTTGTCGTCAGTCCATACAAAGTGGGCTCCTCTGGCATTTGTATTTTCCGCCATCTTCTTCTTCGTGTTTGTTTACATTGCACGAGTTTAATGCGCATGCGCCATTTCTTATTCTCTGTTTTTGGTGTACTTTGTGGCAGCACTGCAGTGCCACTTACAGGCCTTGCATATATATATGCACTACAGCATTTTCAGTGACGTCATGTTTACGTACACATATCTTGAGATGATTCTGTGTTTATGGAAAACTTTTAAAAAACGAAATCGGTTCCGTCTCTGTGGGGATATGGCCTGAGGCTCCTCTTGTCTGGCTTGACCTAGGTCGTTGCCGTGGAAACTCAACTTCAGAGGAGCTTCAATTAAGGCTTTAGCTTACTGTTCCTAGTTAAGATGTGAGACTGGTGTCACTGTAACCATGAAGAAAAGAAAAAACTAACTAGAACTTATTGTGTACTGTTAGTTTTCAAACTCAGTGAGTGCAAAAAAATACAAAAAAACAACTGTAAGCTTTTACTACATGGGCTGCTTGATCAATTGAGTTAGACGCTGAACTAAATATGATTTCATATTAGGCAGTTCAGTTTTATTTCTTTACCTGAAAATGCATTGAAATGCAAATTGTATGCTTGACTTACAATTAAACTGCACTTCTATATCACAATTTTGTTTTCTTGAGGGTTGTTTTCTTCTGAGAGTAGTCACCTGCAGGACTCAACCATTACAAGGGAGGGGTAAGTAGACCAGTTAAAAAACCCTCATTCTAAACAGCGTTCATTTACGATAGCTTACTCGGGAGGACACTTAAAATATCATGATTTATAAACGTGTTTACTTTTACAAACGTGTTTGTGAGAGTGGGTGCTCTGTCTGTATGATGTTGGACTAAGAGTCTCATCCTACTCTCTAATGTGCTATGTGTGAGCTCAGTCCTGCGTGTTCTTTAATGAAGCAATAGGAGAAGATATTCGGTTTCAGTTAATGTAGTTTATTAAGCAGTAAAGGAATAAAATTACAGAGCTCTGGGTCTCAACTTCACGTCCCTGACGAACAACAAAGGTGTGTCAGTTCACGAAGTCTGACCTCCTGTCCTTTCCCTGACCCAGTATATTTGAGCGTAACAGAGTGTCATTGTGCACGCAAGGCGTTGTCCTCTTCTCATTGGCAGTTCCACTTCCTCCTTCACCACACCACGCCCCTGCCTCGTGTTAATCTGACTCCTTCCCGCTGGCGGTGGGGGCGTGGTTCCTGTTTTGAAAGACGAGAACAACACAACTCCCTACACGTGCTGTACCTTACTATCTGTATATCACTTTCTATTCTTTTTACCATATATGAAACTAATTATCTAAGCATTGCGGTATGTGCTCCTCAGACTTCATGTCTCTTCCTCTCCTGTACTTCTCCACTTCTGCAAAGCAAACACATTCAGATCAGCTGAAGTCATCTCAGTATTCTCATTGTTCACACATCTAAAACTTATATAGTGAAACACAACTTATAGTAAAACACATAAAATCATTCTATTCCCAACAATGAGGATGTCTCATAACTACAGGTGTGGCATGATGATTGGCTGGAGGTGTGGGTTCTGTCTGGTGGAGTGTTGAGCACTGATTGGCTCCTCAACTACCATCAGCTGTTCAAACCCTCGGCTTGCCAACAAGCTGGTTGACAGTCGTCTGACAGCAGCAGAGTTGTGTCCTCGGCCTCCAAACCATTGTTACTGTATCCATGTTAAACCTGACAGTTTTTCTTCTTTAGCAATTGTTTGTGCCTCCTGTGTGTTATCTTAGTGAGTTTTTGCTTTTGTGCTTGAGCTTTTAGTAGCCTAATTCATTTTAAGTTATTTACATGTATTATTTTTAAATTAACTTTGAAGCTGTGGGGGTATCTTTTATATTGTATATTTTTCTCCTGTTTCAGATGTATCCTAGGGAGCCAGTAAGTGTCTTTTTGTTTTTTATTTTCAGTAGGTGTATTGCCTTTAAGGCATATATTTTTTGTAAGACTTTTATTTTGAAGTGCATTGTCAGACTTGAGAGCAGACTACTTCCTGTTAGTTTGTGTTCATTTTGAAACCAGTTCTCTCCACTTCTATCCATGATGTAGACACCACAGAGGCAATGTCTTTAGTAGCATAATTCATAGCTACGCTTATAAGTTAAAGGGCCAGTGTGTAATATTTGGCATGGTTTATTGTCAATCTGAATCTGAATCTGAATCTGAATATTCTACCCATTAATATGTTTATATAAGTGTATAATCGCTATAAAATAAAATTCGTTTGGTTTTCGTAGCCTTATAATTATGCTTTTATATATATATATATATATATATATAGCAAGGGCCTTGCTTTATAGAGGTCGCCATCTTACAGCAGACCGAGCGGACAATCCAGCCAGCCAGAGAACGCGTTTTGCGTGTATAAATAAACCAACAAAGACAGCGGAAGGAAGGAAGGAAGGAGGAAGAAACAGCAAAGAGTGTTAGTAGTTCGTCAATAGAGAGTAGTGAAAAGTTTTTTTAGTTATAAAGTTTGCGAATGGACCACACTTACCACGCAACAGGAGAGAACGAACCCGAACCGTCATCTGCGAGGAAAAAAAGACGCAGCTTCACTCCTTGTGATGCACTCTCTGTGGTGCTTTCCCTCCTGATGATATATCTCCCCAACAATGGCAGCAGTAGCACCGAATCCCATTCTGTGCATTCAGCCTCTTTTCTTGCCCGCTCATCATCAAACACATGGAGTTCCTCATCTGTATGCTCCGGCTCAAACAGGTATGGCTCTGGGTCTGTGTCCGCTACAAGAAACTCTTCAAAATCGTGTTCAAAGTCGTCCATTGCAGCTACTATAGTACTGAGATATTGTTAGGCTAAATAAACAGCTGAGCTCTGTTTACAGGCTACGCTGTCGGTCAGTGTGCGGGCTGGAGATTGGTGGAACAGAGAGGGGAGGGGGTCCCCACTCAGAATGGTAAACGAGTATGTGTGTATGAAGTGTGTGTTATGCTAGAAGAGTCAGAGTTTGGGACGGAGTCTTTTACCCCCTGGAGTGTTACCGGAGTTTTTGGAGTGCTCAAATAAACTGGCCTTTTTCCCGAACGCTCCTCTGGTTTCCTGCTCGTGAGTGATTCATTACAATATCGTAACATGGTTTAGATTTCTAAATGAACATTCACCTCGTGGCTAGATAGACCTACTCCTGAAAAACTCGTGCGCAAGGCTTTTTGTCCCTACGAGGCCACTGTCATTTACCCGACGGGAGGGGTGAGCGAGTGAGCCCTGCAATCTAGAATTTGACCACTGATGTCACTGTTTTCAACCCATTTTACACACTGGCCCTTTAATGTTGAGAAGATATTTACATTGAAAAAACATTTCATTGTAGTTAATAAGATCGTTTATTTACACATATTTACATGGAGAAATGTTAGCATGTTAGCAACAGAATGGTGAGTTTGTTTGTATTCTGTTCTTATTGCAGTTTTCACTCTGTAAGATGATGAAAGAGCCTCACTAAACTTCAGCTAAAGTTTAAAACGTCTCAGAGCATCATTTTATGTGCAGTTCATACATTGCAGTGAAGACAACACAGTAGGTGTAGCTA